CCCCCCCAAAGAGTAGTTCCCTTAGTTCTGACCCTGAGTCAGCAAACTCTGTGCCTGAGTGGCTCTAACCACTCCTGCGAAGCCTCCCGCTCATCCCTGCTGCGGGCTCCCAGCTCCACCAGCTGTTCCGGGAAACAGTTCTTGAACTTCAGGGAGCTGAGTGTGTACTCCAGAAAAAGCCCCAGAAATAAAAAGTGCCAGTGCTGATGAAGGCACGTTTAGTCCATGAGTAACAGGACAACTCAGGAACTTGTCTGAACCTGAGAAACTCAGTTTACTATTTGCATTCAAGATCAGCAGCACCTATGCACTTATCTCACTGACCTCATGACTGCAAAGTGCTTCTCGGAAGGGTCCAAGCTGATGCGCTCTTCCGAAATCTTCCTTGTCTGTGGCAAGTAAAGGGACAGTGGGTGTGGCAAGGGACGCCTGAGCAGTTGTTTACTCCCCATTTCTGAGTGACTAGCCTTATGAAAGGTTAGGGGAACTAGAAAGTGAAACTTAAGCTTAATGTAACCTGTTATGATTTAGTCAAAATACTTGATCAAAATTGACTCACACTAACAGGTCAGTATTCCCTTTGACCGAAAATCTAGGGTAGGTCCCAGGAAACTGCACTGTTAATCGTCTTTAGGAGATTCAGGCATAGAGGTTTCTGGAGCCACATGAAATGATGTGAAAAATTGTACCAGAAATATTTTCTAAGACGCAGTTTCATTCAGTAAATTTATCTGTGAGAGACGATTTGCACTTGGAGACCTGGGTTTAATTCTGTGTGTTCAGTTTACTAGCTCTGGGGTTAGCCATGAGACACATCACTGCACCTGAATCTTCTGCTTTACACAATACTAAATATAGAAGTGTGGACAAAAAGGGGCCACATACTAAACCTAAAAAGTTAAGGGAAGGCCTGCATGGTGGCCTTACAAACTGAGACTTAAAGTAACCACAATCAACAATAAAGATAAACAAACAAAAATAGAAAAACAAAATAAATAAAGTAACCACAAAAAATAGCCTGAAATGAAAACGTTTCAACTAAAAGCAGTCTATGGTGGGTAGTCACGCCCTAAGGCAGTATTTTTCTTTCACAAAGGTTAATTTTTCACCTTAACTAAGCCTGTCGTCTTTTGCACCTGAGGTGACATACCAGGTTAACACAGGCCTTTGCAAAACAAAGTAATTATCCCCTTTTCAGGGGGGCCTCGGTGCACCTGGGAAGAGACTAAGAGTTCTCTCATTGTTTTTGTTATCTTGTTGACTGTGGACTGTTAACTATCCTGTACCCATCTATGTAAAAGAAGCATGTGCCTATCATTTTACTTTTTATCCAATCCCAGAGGTTGGTCGGCCAATCTNGATTTCATGTAACCCACTTAGGGCTCCGCTTTTGACTGTAATCTATAAAGCAACATGCAAAACTGCCATTCTCCGGAGCATTATTTCAATCTGTTGAGATTTTGGCTCCCTGGCAAATGTCAACAGTTTGACTCAAATAAA